AGTGAGACTCCAACTCAAAAAAAAAAAAAAACATTAGCCAGGCATAGTAGTGCGCACCTGTAGTTCTGGCTACTTGAAAGGCTGAGGAGGAAGGATTGCGGGAGTCCAGCAGGTCGATGCTGGGGTGACCATGAACGTGCCGCTGCACTCCAGCCTGGGTGATGGAGTGAGACTCCCACTCAAAAAACCCAAAAAACAAAAAACCCCTGTTTGTAAGCAATCAGGGAGTTCGGGTCTTAGGAAATGGTTGCCTGTTATCCTTGCTTGGTGTCCTACAGTAAGTGTCTATTTTTTCTCCCTGCAAATCTGTGTCGGTGTTTGGCTTTGCTCCACCAGATAGGCGGGCCCCAGTTTGGTTCAGTAACAAGACCTAGCTAAGCTGTTAACTCCATCAAATTTAAGGCCCAGATCCCAGAAGCCAAGGGGGTTGGCCTACCCTTCTTCCCCACTGAATTCATCCTAAAGGTAGAGACAGCCCATTAAGCCAGAAGGAAATCTGCATAATTAATTATCATGTTGTGAGATTACTGGGCATAAAAAACATGAGCCTATGAATGGAGTATGGCTCACACTTTGTAGTGGTGACATCAGGGGACTGAGGATCAAAGGGGAGCAAGTCTGAGTCTATAAAAGTGCTCCTTGAGAGAAAACAGCCCTGTGGAAAACCCAAGAGCCAAGCCAACCTAACGAGTCTGGGAAAATGTCCCCCTCCTCTGCCCTCTGAGAACACCCTGAAGTTTTGTTTTGTTTTTTGGTGACAGGGTCTCACCTGTCACTCATGCTTAGTGCCGTAGCACAGTTATAGCTCTATCCCATCCCAAACTCCTGGGCTCAAGCAATCCTCTTGCCTCGGCCTCCCTAATAGCTAGGACTATAGGCATGTATCACCACATCTGGCTCATTTTTTAATGTTTTGTAGAAATGGGGTCTTACTATAATGCCCAGGCTGGTATTGAACTCCTGGCCTCAAGCAATCCTTCTACCTTGACCTCCCAAAGTGCTGAAATTATAGGCATGAACTATCCATCCAGCCTCTCCCTTGAAGTTTTGAGTTTCTAGATACAAGATCTACAAGCAAACTGTTGGTACTATTTTAAGAGACTGTCCTCCTTACTCAGAATCCCACGGACTATGCCTATGCTGGTTAATTCCTACACTCTTCCCTCTCCTCATTTAAAAGGGAAATAAACATCATACACTTAACCGACTTAAGAGTCCCCTAGTCCCATTGCTCCTCCTTACTCCTACACCAGGAAGGATGGAAAGAACATTCTATTCAGGGCTGTGGACATACAGGTAAGGATGGAAAAGTGACCTTGCTCTTTAGAGACAAGTGATCTAGCCGGGATAAAGACAGGTATACAAATAATTACAACTCCCAGAATAAATAAAATATTTCTCTGGATTCATCCTACTCCCACAATTCAGTTTAGTTCAACTCCCAGTTATCTCTTTAGGAGCCAGGCAGTTTGGGGATGCAAAAATGCAAGAAATCAATTCATTCAATAGAGATTTATTGAGCCTGTACTATGTACCAGAATTTCTGCTAGGGCCCCTCACTACAATAACAGGGATCCTCCCAGACTCAAGCTGTCACCCAACAGTGTGGTGGGCAGCGGTGACGGTGCAGTGGAGAATTAGCCAGGGAGGCCGAGGTACTGAGACCAGATCTGAATGTTACCACTGCTAAGGTTTTTGGTCAGTTGTTTCAAAGGCCTTGGATAACCAGCCCAGTTTCCCTAGGCCCCTCAGAGAACCGTCCCGACAGGCCCAAGTCCCTAATGGTCGGGGTGTGGGAGCTACTAGCCTTAGCTGCTCAATATGTCCCATGGGCCAGTAGGTGCCTCCTTTTTTATCACGTGGCTGTGATCTTCTATTTACAACATTCACCAGTAGACAGATCTCTGACGGCGGGGCTGTATTCTAGTCCCGGCATCTAGCGCAGGCCTGGCTTTCAGCGGGCGCTTAGCTAATGCCTGACGAATGAAACCATGTGCCTCTTCCCTGAAAGAACTCCCTGAGGGCCCACTTGTGAAGTGCCCGCTGCCAGCGGCCTGGCCCCTTCCCTCCCGGTCGGGTCGGTCAATCCTCATGCGTCTGTCTGCCGGCCAAGGCAGGGCGATAGTTTCATGTCTGAGGACTAGAAAATTCTAAGAGGGGCTGCTCTTGATCGCGCCCTAAAGATCCAGAGGTGCCTCTGGGCTGCGGTGACAGCGGCCCAGAGCAAGTGACAACAGGGACTTCCGGATCTAGCGGAGGAAGGCGCTACCGCCGTTGAAGGGGGTTGGTCCTGTCCCTGACTTGGGGACCCCACCCCAAGATGCGAGGTCCGGAGGCCACAGGGTTGCAGCACCCACCTCTAGCAGGGCCGTTCCGGCCGCCCTGCTCCGCTGCCTCGGACACAACCAGCGCCGCCATCACCCGCCTGCCCACGTGGGACCAAAAAGACAGCGCAGGAGGAACGCGGAGTGCACAGACATTGCGATCGATCGCCGATCGGTCGGCGGGGGCGGGGCTTCTCGCTGGGTGGGGACCATGAAGGAGGAGATAGGGGCGGGGCTATGGCGGAACCCGTCTCAGCCCAGAATATCCCGAGGTCTGGACTCTCAGGATTCCCTAGTGATCCCCCGACAACCCGGAGTTGCCCTCTTCCGGCGACCCCGTCCCCCACCTCCCCCACGGCCTGGACCGAGCCGGGCACTCCCGGACCAATGCTCCCCATGTGCCAACACCCTGCATGAGTCCTGAAGGCTGAATCTTGTGAATGGAGACACCCACCCGGCCTTCCTTCAGTTCTCACAGTTTCCCTTTCTGGTAAACAGTGTCAGTCGGCCACATTTCCTACGTAGCAGGACCCCACTGCGGGGCAGGACCGAACTCAGGGCTCACACCAGCCCAGCTCCAAGTGGAGTCTGTGCAAGTTTCCCGAGTGCCGTGAGTTCCCTGATCACCTTTAGAACCCACCCTGTAGACCCTGTAAACGGTTCACTTGGGAGAAACTGCCGCTCACGGGAAGGCCCAGAGCCTAAGGGTGCTTTCTTGGGAGGATGGGGCCGCCTGACGACTCCATTGCCTAAATCTTCTGGATCCTGGCCAGCCTTTGTTCTGACCCTTAGCCCTAGATAGCCTTTCTCCTGATCAGTGGCCAGGGCTCTTGTGACCCCAAAGAGAAGGCAGAGCAGCCAGTGAGACAGCCTGGACCTTTGGAAGAGCAAAGTACCTGCAGTACTGGCCCCCAGCAAAGTCTGCCCCATGGAGCAACAGACCACCAGGGCTGTTTGCCCACCCAGCCCCTGGCACCATCCTCTTCTCTGTGGTGGTGCTGTAAGAACAGCTGGCCCTTTAAGGCAGCTCTGTGGCCTCAGGCTCCCCCCCAGGCCCTCCCTGCTTGGAAACCCCTAATTAAGGTGCAAGAAGATGTGAAAACAAGCAGCCAGGGACAGGGCCTGCCTGGGAGGCTGCCCAGGAAAGAGGAATGGCTAGGTAGGCTGGGAGTGAGCAGCCAAAAGGGGAGGATCAGAAAGGCCCAGTGCTCTGCCCCTCAGGCCTCCAGCACTCTTAGGACAGGTATGACTTGGGACAGAAATGTGGCCAGCATGGGTCCCAGGAACACCCTCTCACCTGGATAAGAGCCCAGACCAGGCTGGGCACGGTGGCTCACACCTATAATCCCAGCACTTTGGGAGGCCGAGGTAAGGATTAACTGAGCCCACGAGTTCAAGACCAGCCTGGGTCACTTGGCGAGACCTCATCTTTACAATAAATCAAAAAAAATTAGCCGGATGTGGTGGTGCATGCCTGTAGTTTCAGCTACTTGGGAGACTGAGGCAGAAGGATTGCCTGAATCCAGCAGGTCTAGGCTGCGATGGCCATGAGCGTGCCACTGCACTCCAGCCTGGGCAACAGAGTGAGACTCTGACTCAAAAAGAAAAGAGCCCAGACTGGACTTTCCCATCTCCCCCAGCTTCTCTGGACCCCCAGGATGCAGGATCTGAGTTCCAGGAGCCTAGCACCTCCTCTTTTAGGACACCAAGGCCCGGTCTATGGGCAGGTTCTAAAGAGGAAAGATTGCTCTAACAGAGTAGTGGCTCCTCTCTAGCAAGCACCCATCTCTTAGAGTCTTTCCCTTAGCAGAAGTGGAGCCCACTGATGACAACGGTCCCCTCCTCTTGTAATGTTGCCTCATAACCTCTGTGCTCAATAAGCTGCCCTGGTCCCTAGTGGGAAACCAGGTGAAGCTTAGGAGAACTGGACATCAGGAATGGATGTGAGAATGCTCCCCTAGATCCTGCAGTGTAGGGCATTGGGGGCTGTCATTCAGCTTGGGCTGAGGACACCTCCATCTGTCTGTGGGGGTCTCCCTGCCTGAGTTACTCAGCTGTCTGAGTAATTACTGCCTGACAAGAAGGCAGGCACAGTGCACCCCTACATTACACCACAACACCCGCCTATAGTCGCCCCCACCCCCTGGCTGGACTCCAAAGCAGCATCCAGCCCTCCTGAGTCCTGAAATAACTCCATTTCTCACAATCACGCCTAGCCCCAGCCAACTTTGCCTAAGATACTGGAGTCTGTGAGCTAGGGGGTCATGGGGAGGCGGCCTGGGGAGGTGGAGGAGGATCAGCCCACATTCAGGCCCTAATTTAAGCCCACACTTTATCACTGACCTGTCGTGCAACATTGGACAAGTTGTTCAATCTCTCTGGGCCTCAGATCACTTATGAAAGACCTCTGCAACTCTCAGTGTCATGGAGTTTAGCTCTGGCAGGGCTCAGGCAGCGTGTAGGGTCAGGTGGAGGCTGATGGAGGCTAAGAGAAGGAACGCTCACATTTTCCCACCCTAAAAGGGACCAATCTTATGAATCTTCAGAATAAGGTTACCTGTCACCTTCAAGCACCTACTCATTCTGTCCTTTCTGGAGTGCCCCTTTCTCTTCTCAGCCTGGCCAACTCAGCTGTCAAGACATAACTCCAAGGACACCTCTCCTGGGACCATTTCCTGATTATTCTTTACCCCCAATACAAAGGTAGCAGAGCCCCTTCCCACTCTTGGTAATTTCTGTGACATTGCAAGACGGTTTGTGGGTCTTTCTTCTTCCACTGCACCATAAGCTTTTGGAAGTCCAAGCCTGTATCCTTAGTTCAAACCTGGAGTCTCAGTGATACTGAATGCATTTATGAGTTAGTAAATAACGCTGGCCTTCTTTTTTACCTTCCTATCATGTCAAGTTTTCCCCAAGAAGGATTTCCATTCGATCTTTGCCTGGTTATCGCCTGCTCAGAGCAGCTTTCCTTGACCCCTCATGTCAGCTGCAGAACAAGACTCTGCTTGATTTTCTTCCAAGCACCATCTTATCCGACTTTCCTCATTTGGTCCCTGTTAGAATGCAAACCCCCCCGAGGACGGGGAAAAGACTCGTCTTTTCCATTGGCTGAATTTTCAGGAAGAGTAGTGCCCCCCACAGGACAAACTCTCACTAAATGTGTGTCGAGTGAGTGACGGTCCACTCTTTCTCCTTTCTCGGAATCCCTCTTATCCCAGGCCAGTAGGGGGTGCCGGCCTCCACCCAGGATCCCGCCTGGCTTGAACCTTCCCCACACTCAGCTCAGCGGGCACCCTGCGGGACCCACTTTCTAAGCGGTGCCTCCTCCATCTTCCGCGAATCCTCGGGCGGGATCTGTGTGGACCTAGGGAGATTAGAGCCCCCCACACAAGGTGTATAGTCCAGCTGAATCCCGCATTGGCCTTTCCCTCCCTCTGGGATTTGCAACTGGGCCTCCCCAACACTGCCTCTACGTTCCGCTCCGTCCCCCCGCCCCCAAAAAAGAACAGTGTCCTGGGACCAAGATGCGGGGCTGCTGGGTTCGCTGGAGCTGTTCTGTGCGAGGAAGAGCCGTGGAGACTAGGAGAAGGGGCGCTGGCCAGGGAGGAGATGGGGCGGGGTGCGCACTCGTGCTCGGGGCTCTGGGCGGCGGCCCTCGCGTCCCGGCCGGGCGGCGGGGCGCACGCTTGCAGCCGCCTCT